TAGTGTTTTTGATCTCTGGCATTTCTTTTTGGTTCTTTCTTAGTATTTACATCCCTCTGTTGACATTGCTTATCTGTTCTTTCATGGTGTCTGTTTTATTGATTGGAGCCCTTAGCATGTTAATCACAGTTGTTTTAAATTCTTAGTGTGATAATTTCAACATTTCTGCCATGTCTGGTTTTGAAGCTTGCTCTGTTTCTTTAAATTGTGTTTTTTGCTTTTCAGTGTGTCTTATAATTTTTTCTTGGTAACTGGACATGATGTACCAAGAAAAAGTAACTGTTATAAATAGGTCTTTAGCAATGTGGTGTTGAGATGTTGGGGAAGGGGAGCATTCTGTAGTCTTGTTATTAGTTCTCAGTCTCTGACTGAACCTATATCTTTGGATTGTGAACTTCACAAGTGTTTTAGTTTTTTTCCACTCTCCTTAGGTTGGACAAGATGGCAAGAGTGGGCTGCTGTTGGGTATTTCCCTTCCCCAGGTCAGTTAGCCTCTGACAATACCCTAGCAGGTTAGGCTCTGGTTAACTAATTTCGCCTGAGGGCAGAACAGAGTGCGGGCCTATTTCAAAATTCTTCCTTTTCTCCTCCCCCTGCTAGAAGCAGGAGGAGATTTTCTCTGATATTTACTTTGAGGGCCTGGTCAAGCTCCTGGATATAAATCTTACAAAATTGTGGGGGTGAGGCCCCCTTGAGGTTTCTTTTTTTTTAAGATTTTATTTTTAGAGCAGTTTTAGTTTCACAGCAAAATTGAGAGTAAGTTACAGAGATTTCCATCCCCTGCCGGACACATGCATAGCTTCTCCCATTATCAGAATCACTCACCAGAGTGATACGTTTGTTACCAAGGATGAACCTACTTTGATACATCATAATCACCCCAGATCTGTAGTTTACCTTAGGGTTTACTCTTGGTGTTGTTCATTCTTTGGGTTTGTACAAATGTATAATGACATATATCTATCATTATAATGTACAGAGTATTTCACTGCCCTAAAATCCTCTGTGCTCTGCCTTTTCATCCCTTATCACCCTCACCCCCTGCAATCACTGATCTTTTTTGTCTCCATAGTTTTGCCTTTTCCTGAATGTCAGTCATGTATTTGGAATCATACAGTATGTAGTCTCATTCAGGTTGGCTGCTTTTTTTAGTAATATGCATTTAAGGTTCCCCCATCTCTTTTCATGGCTTAATAGCTCATTTCTTTTTTAAAAAATATTTTTATTATGGATCTTTTGTTATTTAGATCATTTCAGCAAAAAGATTACGGCTAAATTACAGTGGAACTGCCATTGACTAAGTAATGTGAGAGATCTACTTTTCTTCAACTACCAGTCTTTTTACTTTTTTCAGAGTTCAGTCACCATAGGTCAAATTCTTTTGGAGATAAATGTCAGTTTTAATAATATATAATATCAGGCTTTAGTTCTGTTTACAGTGCTATAAATATCTTTGTGACAAAAGATTTAGAGGACTTTGAAATTGGCACATTACTTATAATATTTTAATCCTATAAAAGTTAATAATGAATGTTAAATTTACCAAAGACTTCTGGAGGAGTCTTTAGTAAACTTAACCAGTATTTAACCAAGTATGTAACAAGTATACTTGGTTTTGTTTTATACCTCATTGTTAAGCTAAAGTGGTAACATTTAAGTTAAAAGGAACTGGTTACAGTCTTTTTAAGGCCATGGGCCAGAGATCATTTCAATTTTTTGGTCTTCATATTAGGTTTCATAGCAGTACAGTTTAAGTGTAGTTGATTTACAATATATTATTTTCAGGTGTACAACATGGTGATTTAAAATTTTTATAGATTATACTCCACTTATAGTTACTATAAAATGATGGCTGTATTCCCTGTGCTATAAATATATCCTTGTAGCTTATTTATTTTGTACAAGGTGGTTTGTACCTCTTAACCTCCTACCCCTATCTTGCCCCTCCCCTCTTCCCTCTCCCACTGGTAACCACTAGTTTGTTCTCTATATCTGAGTCTGTTTCTGTTTTGTTATATTCATTCATTTGTTTTATGCTTTAGATTCCACATGTAGGTGATAACATACAGTATTTGTCTTTTTCTGTCTGATTTATTTCACTAAGCATAATAGCCTCCAGTTTCAGTCATGTTGTTGCAAATGGGAAAACTTCACTTTTTTATGGCTCTGTAGTATTACATTGTATGCATACATACATACATATATATATGTATATATATACCACCTCTTCTTTATCCATTCATCTGTTGATGAACTTTTAGGTTGCTTCCATATCTTGTCTATTATAAAAAATGCTGCTATGAACATTGGGGTGCATGTATTTTTTTTTGGCTGCACTGGGTCTTTGCTGCTGCGTGCAGGCTTTCTCTAGTTGCAGTGAGTGAGGGCCACTCTTTGTTGCGGTGCATGGACTTCTCATTGCGGTGGCTTTTCCTGTTGCAGAGCATGGGCTCTAGGTACACGGGCTTTGGTAGTTGTAGCACACGAGCTCAGTAGTTGTGGCATGCGGGCCCTAGAGCACGCGGGCTTCAGCAGATGTGGTGCATGGGCTTAATACTTGCGGTGCACGGGCTCTAGGGTGCATGGGCTTCAGTAGTTGTGTCACGCAGGCTCAGTAGTTGTGGCTTACGAGCTCTAGAGCACAGGGTCAGTTGTTGTGGTGCATGGGCTTAGTTGCTCTGTGGCATGTGGGATCTTCTCGGACCAGGTCTCGAACCCGTGTCCCTTTCATTGGCAGGCAGATTCTTAACCACTGCACCACCAGGGAAGTCCTGCATTTGTCTTTTTGAACGAGTGTTTTTCTTTTCTTTGCATAAATTCCCAGGAGTGGAATTGCTGGATAATATGGTAGTTCTATTTTTAGTCTTTTGATGAACATTTGTACTGTTTTCCACAGTAGCTGCACAAATTTACATTCCCACCGACAGTGTACAGAGTTTACCTATTCTCCATATCCTTGCCAACACTTGTTATTTGTGGTCTTTCTGATGATAGCCATTCTCACAGGTGTGAGGTGATATCTCAGTGTGGTTTTCATTTGTATTTCCCTGATGATCTAATCTTTTCATTTGTGCCTGTTGGCCATCTCTATGTCTTCTTTGGGTCCTCTACCCATTGTTTAATCAGATTTTTTTTGTTTTTGATGTTGAGTTGTATGAGTTGTTTATATATTTTGGATATTAATCCGTTATTGGACATATCATTTGCACAAATCTTCTTCCCTTCAGTCAGTTGCCTTTTCATTTTGTTGATGGTTTCCTTTGTTTTGCAAAAGCTTTTAAGTTTGATTAGGTCCCATTTGTTTATTTTTTGCTTTTGTTGCTCTTGCCTGAGGAGACACATCCAAAAAATATCGCTAAGAACAATGTCAAAGAGTTTAGTACCTGTGTTTTCTTCTAGGAGTTTTATGGTTTCAGGTCTTACATTAAAGCCTTTAATCCTTTTTTTTTTTTTTTTTTTTTTTTTCCCCCCCCCCGGTGTGCAGGCCCCTCACTGCTGCGGCCCCTCCCGTTGCAGAGCACAGGCTCTGGACGCGCAGGCTCAGCTGCCATAGGCTCACGGGCCCAGCCGCTCCGTGGCATGTGGGATTCCCCCCAGACCGGGGCACAAACCCACGTCCCCTGCATCGGCAGGCGGACCCCCAACCACTGCGCCACCAGGGAAGCCCGCCTTTAATCCATTTTGAGTCTGTTTTTGTATATGGTGTAAGAAAATGTTCTAGTTCCATTCTTTTACATGTAGCTGTCTAGTTTTCCATGGAGTTTTTAACTCTCAGACTTGTGTACACTGAACCTCCAGCAATTGGTCAATTACAGTTCAGGCTTTCCTACCCTGCTGCTGGTTCCCATGATTGTTTCCATTTCTAAGTCTACTCCAGTAAGCCATGACTTCTTGCATTTGCCTGTCTCTCCAATAGTAGGCTTAGCAGTTTCTACTGTGCCCTCATTTCTCTTAAGGATCCTAGAAGAGTTGATTTTTCAGTCTGTTCAGCTTTTTACTTGATAAGACAGTGCAGTGACTTTCAAGCTCTTTAAATTTGGAACTGGAAACTGGAAGTTCTGAACTACTTTTTTAAAATAAAAAAAATGCATAAAAATGTAGGGTATGTATATGATTTTAAAAAGTAAACTATATGGAAGGCAATGCAATGAAACATTTAAGTCTCTTTCCTATCCTGGACCTTAGTTCTCCAGGCCTTTTCCCTAGAGGAAACCACTGTTAATAGTTTCATGTGTATTCTTCCATAGGTAATCTCAGCTATTACAAACGTATGTGTATATATTTTGTAAAAAAGCAAATGGGGGGCTTCCCTGGTGGCGCAGTGGTTCAGAGTCTGCCTGCTGATTCAGGGGACGCGGGTTCGTGCCCTGGTCTGGGAAGATCCCACATGCTGCGGAGCGGCTAGGCCCGTGAGCCACGGCCGCTGAGCCTGTGCGTCCGGAGCCTGTGCTCCGCAACGGGAGAGGCCACAGCAGTGAGAGGCCCGTGTACCACAAAAACAAAAACAAAAACAAAAAACAAAACAAAACAAAAGCTAATGGAACCATATTCAACAAGTGCTGGACCTTGTTTTTGCTTCTTGTATCTTAGAGTTCATCTCATATCAGCACACAAAAATCTATTTCTTTTTTTATGACTGCATAATATTGTGCTAAATATGTATGTCATAATTTATTTAACACCCCTCACTTCCCCATGATGAACATTTATGATGTTTCCAGGCTTTTAATTAAAATCAGTGTAGGGACTTCACTGGTGGTCCAGTGGTTAAGACTCTGTGCTTCCATGGCAGGGGACACAGGTTTGATCCTGGGTTGGGAAAGTTCCACATGCTGCGCAGTGTGGCAAAGAAAAAAAAAAAATCAGTGTAGCCATGTATATACATCTTTGCAATGTGTGAATATATCTGTGAGATAGATTACTAGACGTTATCTCCTTGATATTAATAAATACATATAACTTTCATGAGTATAACATGATTTTTTCCCCCACTCCTTTAGAAAGAAGCCTAAGAAGAAAGAAAATGAGACTGGATGTAGAAGGTCAATGCGATTACTAAAAGTTGATCCTTCAGGAGTTTCATTACCAGCAACTCCAACCCAGCCAATATTAGTAGCAGATGAAAATGTAAGAAAGAGTGAAAATACAATATATTAACCAATAAAATACTCAAAAATTTGAAGTGTTTGAAAGTAGAGTAAAAAGTCATTAAATTATGTTTAATTTGTGCTTCATTAATTTAATACTTGGCTGTTGTATGGTTTAATGAGTAAGATTTCAAACTCATAAGAGACTGGCTTGGATTCTATATTTCTGCAGACTTACCCTTTGTGGGATTGTGGGTAAATTCCTTAGTCTTTCTGAGCCCCAGTTTCCCCTTTTTTTTTTTTTTTTTTTTTTTTTTTTTTGCGGTACGCGGGCCTCTCACTGTCGCAGCCTCTCCTGTTGCAGAGCACAGGCTCCGGACTCGCAGGCTCAGTGGCCATGGCTCAAAGGCCTAGCCGCTCTGCGGCATGTGGGATCTTCCCGGACCGGGGCACGAACCCCTGTCCCCTGCATCGGCAGGCGGACTCTCAACCACTGCACCACCAGGGAAGCCCTCCCCATTTTTAAAATGGCAACAATAGCAGAAACCTCTCAAAGAGGTGTTGTGAGGGATAAATGAAATAGTATCTATAAAGTTTCTTACATTATATTAAGGACTTAGTAAGCAATAAATGGTAGTTATTAATATTATTAGTAATAAATAATATATGTCACTAGTGATGGGGTTCTCTTACTGTAGTTTAATTTTACGCTATCAGTGAGTGGAAAGAGTTTTATTTACCAAATTTATTGTCTAAATAAGATTATGAGTATATTTTTTATTCAGGAGCACCTACTTTTTTTTGTTTGTTTTGGTTCAGCCACTATGGAGAACAGTATGGAGGTTCCTTAAAAAACTACAAATAGAACTACCATACGACCCAGCAATCCCACTACTAGGCATATACCCTGAGGAAACCAGAATTCAAAAAGAGTCATGTACCAAAATGTTCATTGCAGCTCTATTTACAATAGCCCGGAGATGGAAACAGCCTAAGTGCCCATCGTCGGATGAATGGATAAAGAAGATGTGGCACATATATACAATGGAATATTACTCAGCCATAAAAAGAAACGAAATTGAGCTATTTGTAATGAGGTGGATAGACCTAGAGTCTGTCATACAGAGTGAAGTAAGTCAGAAAGAGAAGGACAAATACCGTATGCTAACACATATATATGGAATTTAAGAAAAAAAAAATGTTATGAAGAACCTAGGGGTAAAACAGGAATAAAGACAGAGACCTACTGGAGAACAGACTTGAGGATATGGGGAGGGGGAAGGGTGAGGTGTGTTAGGGCGAGAGAGAGACATGGACATATATATACTAACAAACGTAAGGTAGATAGCCAGTGGGAAGCAGCCGCATGGCACAGGGAAACCGGCTCGGTTCTTTGTGGCTGTCTGGAGGGGTGGGATAGGGAGGGTGGGAGGGAGGGAGACAAAGAGGGAAGAGATATGGGAACATATATATATGTATAACTGACTCACTCTGTTATAAAGCAGAAACTAACACACCATTGTAAAGCAATTATACCCCAAAAAAAA